GGACGTATCATGTACGTGACAAGTCGGGAGCGACAACTCGGGTGAAAGCGAGTTCTGCAACGAAGCAGAAGTCATTATGATGTATGATAGCAAGGCAATACGGAGAAGGTTTTTATTTGTTTATATTTCTGCTCCTTTCAATCTGATCAAAGAGACTAACAGAGAATCGGGCTATACTACTCAAAGGCTCTACACCTTCTATCTCCTCGGGTTATTAACAAGAGCTCATGGAAGAGACAATGGAGGGTGCTAAGCGAGACGTGAAGAAAGATAACAGCGGGAAGACAAGGGGGCGAAGAGAGACGAATAGGAAGAGGAAGAGATGGAAAAAGGTGATGGTGTGGGGTATAAAGAGCGGACGTGCCGTGCTCATTTCCGTAGCAGGGTGCGCAGCACCGGTGGTTCGTAAATGAATGTTCGTATCGTAAGCGACGTGACGGATGCAAGGTCGAGAGTCAAGACCTGACCGGAAAGGGTCTGAAGTTCCCATGAACCTTCATGCGACAAAGGGCAAGCTGGGGTTGGGGCTAACACCCTGGCCAATGTGCCGAGACGCTGTGTCGCAGGAGGTGTTGTGCAAAACATGAAACCGAAACCGTAACGCCTGTGTGGGTATGTTGCCCAGACGCGAACCACCCAGAGTCGCGAGAGCAAAGGAAACAAGAAATTTAGAAACTCGCGTCTTCCCAGTTAATCGTACAGGCGGCTCGTTGCCGATTCCGGTCTAGCAGTAAGAAAGGAAATAGGGTTGGGAAAGGTACCCTCGCGCGTTTCGTGTAGCCTCAGGCTCCGCTTAGATCCAGCCGTTGTTGCGTGGCGGGTTCCGTTGCATCGTGCCCGCGCCAAGTGGAATACGGGCTGTGGGTGACGGAGCGGCATGGCCACTGTTCGTTCGCGTGAGGTTGTTAACTGACGCAGGTGTGCCTGGCTGCGATGATGTTGTAGGTGAACCAACTGATGTAACGGGCGTCACAGGGTTCATGCGCAGTCCGCTGATGCAGGCAGGTTCGGGGACAGCAGGCTTTGCCGGAGTAGCAGAGGGTTGAGGGGAGGCTGGCGACTTCGGGGGTGGGGAGGGTAGCACCTTCTCGCGTTGGGCCTGGAGGTAAGCGCTGGATTGACCTGCCGGTGTGATGGGGAAAGGTGGAGTCCGCGCTGGGCTGTTCGCTCTGGGTCGTGTTGGCGACTCACCACGCGGGGGAGGAGGGGAGAATACACTGGAGCTAAGCATCTCCTGCGATGGCGATGTGCTGGTCGTAGAAGGCTTCTGGATCGGAAGAGCCAACGAAGCTTCACTGCTGTCGGTAGCACCTCGCTTCAACGGAGGGGTCTCTCGTTCAACCCGTGTGCACTTGGCTGCTGCAAGCGTGGCAGGCGCAACTGAGAAGCGGAGACCAATTTGGACGGTTGCACTGCTATCGGTACTTTGCATGCGTTGGTGCCGTTCTGCAAACGGTAGTTTGGGCTTGCTCAGAAAGTCCCAAGCGTCGCCGACATTCGTGACCGAGCCGCGTCGAGTAAATCGTCGCAGGGCAAGCTTGGAAACAGAGGAACCGTCTGAGGTAGCTTTTGGATCGTAAACGGTTGGTGGAAGACGAGGTACCTCCTCAGCGCGTGTGGGAAACAAGGAATAGCTTTGGCTTTGCTTGCGCTCGTGTATCGTAGTTTCGTTGTCGAGAGCAGGTGGAAGAGGCCACTTTGTGGGATCGATAGGGCTTCCAGGTTTGGTCGATGCCGGTGTCAAAGCCCGCTCTGGTCGTTCAAAGTACTGGGGATCAAAGTCACCACGGTTCTTTTCTGGCCCGACATCGATCAGACCCTGTTGACTGTGTAAACGTTGAGTCGTCTGCAATGCCATCGGGCCACTGATCTGCATCTCCAGATCGCTAGGGCCGAAGAAACGAATCTTTGGTCGTTGTTGTTTCGCGGGCGCCTTTAGTTCTTCGATAGGACGAATGACCATTCGTGTCGCGTTCGTACGAAGGAAGAGGTGGAAGAACGTGATGACCATTCCTGACGAGAACAGCGAGATTTCAGCGACTCGAGAAGCGGCTAGTGCTTCCATGAATTCTCGGCGAAGGGACTGTACTTCCACAGGGATGACGAGAGTCTATGATTGTTAGCTAGGAAGGCTAGAAAGGTAGTGTTGATACTCACATAGATTAGTGCGGTAACGATCAAGAAGTAAGTCATACGTGAAGCTGAGATTCGCTCATTATGGTCCAGGTCCGGCGTTCTCATCAGCTGAATACTGATCATAGCAGCTACTAAGAGCAGCAGGAAAACAAGAATTGAAAGGAAGATCAGCATCAGAAGATCATATCGCATGGGGAACCAGATGAGCCCGCCAAAGCAAGTGTTCGGTGACGGCCAGGCAACAGTCGGCATCCAGGAGAGAAGAAGCATGAACGATACAACGGCGATACAGATTATCGTGTTCCACTTGCCGCGTGGGGCGAATCGGTCTTGTCTGTAGGCCCTGACTGCTACCTCGATACCGAAGACCAAGGTAATGAATCCGATCAAAAAGATAGCTGCTGTTCGTCAGTTTAAATGTTCGCAAATGCAGTGTATGCGAGCATACCAGGAAATGTGACCATCGCAAGTCCGCGGCAACTTCTAGAGAACACGCTATGAAGTGTAGTGCCCTGCACTGATACGAAGATAATTTGTTGTAGAACGGCACCGCAGGCCAACGCAAGGGGAAAGGTTTCGGCAGGGTGGACATTGTGAAGAGCATTGAACCTCCTAGTTCTCGTTAGCATTGTCGTAAACTCCGATCATGCTATACTAACTTCTTTCTTGGGAGAACCTGAAGAGCTGCAGCTCGTCGCGCATCCGACACGATCCGATGAACCGTCAACAAGGTCAAGGCAAGGCTGAAAGCTCCAAGGGTAAGATGTGTCGTCCGAAGCGTTTGTACCTGTTGAAGCTGTAGACTCGCGATGAGAGTCCTCGTCGTGTTTGATTGCGTCCAGGGAACTTGGCGAACAGCTGACGTGTTGAGAGTTAAGTTGAAGTGCGATCGGACCTCGAGCTGAGGGAAATGGTCGGCCCATGATTCCATCTCGCCGGCTTTAGTTACAACGGGTGTAGAAGGAATAGAATTGTCTCGCTGGTAACCAGCAGCGGCTGAAGAAAGGAAAACGACTAGGTATTCATGGAGACCGTGTGACTGACGTCGTAAACGAAAGAGTAACCAGCTCAGCGTCAAAGAAGGAAATGGCTAAGCCTGCCAGCAGAGCAACGAAAGAAGGGGAAAGAGCGTGAGCATTAGACGTAAGAGACAAGAGACGGGTATGAGACTCCAAACGGTATATGACAAAACCACTGGGCGGTAGCTGCTGCGCACGGTTTCGGAACAGCGGTCCTCAGGCGTCTATCCGGTCATTGGCTGAAAAGACCCGCATTAGCAAAGATCCAGCCAGTTCATATTACAGGTCGCATCTTCCCGCAATGGGTGGGAGTGGGTTTCAACCTCATGCGAGCCACCCGCATTCTGCCAGGTAGCCCGGCCAGCGGAAGCAGCGAGACCCGCGTAGGCACCGTTGCGCCGAACAGCAGCCACCTGCCTTGGAAAGACTCTTGTCGCTCTCGTAGCTGCTGTGATATGGACCGGGTTGGACAGGTTCAGCGCGACGTCATTGCTTGACGTTGCCGTAGCGGCCGTCTCCACATGGTCCGCCGGTGAACGTGCCTTCGTTCTCAAGGCCGCAGACCCATCTTCGTCAAGTCGTTCGGCCTGCTGAAGCGCGCAATTTCATCTGACGCTGAGCACTATACTTGGGTTCCTGGATAGCTATTTCCAGCACGGAAGCGCTGATGTAGACAGTGGCGCATCGTCGGTGGTGGTGAGGTGGATGTGGTCGGACTAGAGTTCTGATGCTTGCTGGGTTTAGACTGTGCCGCAGATCCTCGCTTCGACCCTGTCCGAGACACAGCGAACTCCAGAACCCCTGCCGGGTCAACGTTCGCCGGGGAAGCCTCGCAAGCCCACGACACGTCCGTGGCAAAGATGGTTAGCTGCAAGGTATAAGCAATATATTATAGAAAACGGAGGGTGATGTGTAAAGCCACGAGGCATTGCTGCATTGGGTCTAGTGCGCAGGTCGGTTTACGCACGCGACGTATAGGAACGGTTCGCGGGCGTGAGATTGAAGGATTCAAGACCCATCAGCATGCAAGACGGAAGGAACCGATTGAGAAGCCCAGATGGAAGATCGTGTATTATCGCAGCCCAGCGCACCTGGGCCTCCACAGAACTGACTTTCAAACCACTGGTACCGCCGAGTGGTAGAGAGTTGTGCTGCAGAAAAGCAACATACTCGAGACGTAAGTCCAGCGCCGAGAGCGCGACACCATACGATGATCAGTATTCACATCATTACACTCCCTGGTAGCCGCCGACAGGTCTAATCAAGGCGCCTACACAGTCGGACAGTCACGTCTACACCCAAGCACTTCAGACGTCTCGTCACAACCGCCGTGGTCTGAAGTTTGACCTGGCAAGCCACCAAGACCAAGATAGAACAGAGAGGGCTTTGCAAATCTTACTACAACAGGCATTGCACGAACTTCGTCAATGCATCGTGGTAGTCATACTAGGAATGGTAACTTTCCAGAACACCAAGGCACAGCCTCTACATAGTCACAGCCACAGCACGAGGCACAAGGGTGTGCTTCATAGTATTCTCCGATAATGCAAATCATGAACCGGGTGGATACAAGCAGTTTAGCTGGGTCTTGTGATAAGGATCAGGCCTGATAAGACTAGAAGTTGTAGACTGGGACTTGATTTTGCTGTTCACAGGTGTCTTGTTGAATGACACGATTGTGACAGGAGGGTATTATTTTTTGGAGGGCATTGAACAGGCCTGCAGCCTGCAGCCTACAATAAGCCAGAAATAAGCAAACAAGAAAATGTAGCGTTGATGAAGACTCCACGGTGTTCAACTTTTCCCTTGAATGGGACTGATACACAATGCTGCGCAAGGCCTGACTCAAGCCGACTTTGCAAACTCTTCAAGGTACGAGACGAGTAGCTTGGTGCCATCTAGCGAGACGGCATTGTCTAGAGCACGAAAGAAGTTAGCCTGAGTCACTGATGGGGATTTTCCCCAGGCCGTATCCTAGATCGAGTACACTCGGCCAGGTCGGCCAGAAGCCGCGTACCCAAGCATGCCTTGTGAAGGCACGACTCGAACCATGTCTGACAGCGGGATCAATAAGACGGGAGTTATAGGGCCACTTACAATTACTGGCACGGATGCCACCTACGCTGCGGTGTCCTTTCAGACCCAGCAGGCCCTTCTTCTCCGCGCCTGCAAGGAAGGCCTTCTCTTTGTCCGCATCACCACCGTTGACGCGGAAGCAGATATTCATTCTACTGCGTACAGACTTGTCTGGCACTACCTGGTAGACGTTGGAGTACTTCTCGAGCATATCGTAGATAAGCCGCGCCTTCTCGTTGGAGACATCCTCTTGACCACCAATGCGCTTGGCACCATAGGAGCTGACGAGTCCGGACATGACCTGGCCAGCCACCCAGACATCGAAGATGGGCAATGTGTTGTACAGCGAGTTGTTTTTCGCGATGGTGGGGTAGTCGAGCACAATGGGGCCAACTGATAGGTTGAGCTCTCTCATCAGGTCGGGCGAGGCGGGTGTTGAGTGTGGCGGAAGGAGCGACTTCCGCATGATGACGATTGCGATACCCGTGTTGCCAATGTTCTTCTGGGCGCCGCCAAAGATGATGGCGTACTTGCGCACATCAACCTTCCGGGAAATGAAGTTTGACGACATGTCGGCGCAGACCAGGGGTGCGTCGTCGCCCTCAAGGCTCTGAGGGAAAGACGGGAACTCGACTCCGTCGACGGTCTCATTGTCGCAAAAGTACACGAAGGCTGGCCCGCCCTTGGAACGCGGAGTCAGGCTCCACTGGTCTTCCGAAGCGATCTTGCCAAATTTGCCGTCATTGATCTTGCGCGAGTCGGTGGCCACGTTGACGTGCTTGGCTCCTACAAGACGCGCTGCCTCTTGCGATGCCTTGAGCGACCAAGAGCCGGTGACGAGGTAGTCGAGTTTGAGCTCCTCGTCGACGACCTTGCGCAGCCTCTTCACCACCTCATCCTTGTTGTCGCCCACCTCTTCCGCAATCTTGGCGCGCTTCTTCTCGACCCATATCGAGACGAGGTTGTATACGGTCGCACTGAACTCGCCGCTGCCGCCGCTCTGGAGGAAGAGGATCTCGTAGTCGTCCGGGATCTCGAGCAAGTCGCTCAGGGCCTTCTTGGTGTCGGCAAGGATCTCGTTGGCTTCTGGCGAGCGATGGGAGATTTCGCAGAGGCCAATGCCCTTGTCTTTGTAGTTCAGAAGCACCTGCGAGGCCTTCTCGAGGACCTCGGTGGGCAGGGGTGCGGGGCCAGCGCCGAAGTAGTTGACGTCGGAACGGTTGACCATGGTGACGACAGGCTTGAGGATTAGTAGGAGATGTGCAGAGTTAGTCGGAGATACTTGGGAGAAATTGATCAAAGAGGGGCGGTTTGTCTGGTGCAAGTCTTCTCACGTCGCGTCATACGGATGACTCCAATGCCAACCTCTTACCAAAAGTTGCTTCCGATCTCGGGCTAGCATGCAACACGCAGGCGTGGACATCCATGGATGGTGGCTCCCTCATGCAGAGTACTCAAATATAGCTTGCCCCGGATCCTACACGTCCCCGCGTGGGAGTTGTTAGCATTATGCGAAGTCATTGCAGGTGTCCGGCTGCGCCCAATGGCAGGCGCCGCAAGTCCGCTGACGCCGGTTTCGGTGCGCGGGTGGGTCGCGAATTTTGGTCTGGGTATGCGCATCACTGCCGTCTGCTGCAAACACCACATTGCTGCCAGCTCAAGCACCACCACAGCAATGGCCATGTCGCTACGGGCAGCCCGGCTCCTGGGTCGCAGACAACTAGCAGTATGTCGGGAATGTCATCGCCGGCCATGTATCCTCTAATGTCAAATGCAGCCCCGGGCAAGTCTTGCTCTTCGTGCCGCCTCGCTTTCGCCTCGACCGTGTCTCGCACCCCGAACCTTTGCCACGACCGCCGTCCGTCGCGATGCCCATGATGTCTTTCCCTCGATGAAGGAGAGCCCGGCGGCGAGCTTCCTCTCTTCGCTCAATGAGACGCCCGCAACACCCCAGACTCTCACCGAGAAGATTGTGCAGCGGCATGCCGTCGGCGTTGCGCAGGGCAAAGTCCTCAGGTCGGGCGACTACGTGACATTGCAACCTCACAAATGCATGACACACGACAACTCGTGGCCTGTGGCGCTCAAGTTCATGGGCATCGGAGCCACCAAGATCAACGACCCCAACCAAATCGTCATGACGCTCGACCACGACGTACAAAACAAGACGGAAAAGAACTTGAAGAAGTACAGCCAGATCGAGGAATTTGCACAGAAGCAGGACGTCGTCTTCTACCCCGCTGGCAGGGGCATTGGTCACCAAATCATGGTAGAGGAGGGCTACGCCTGGCCGGGAACACTCGCGGTAGCTTCTGACAGCCACTCCAACATGTACGGCGGTATTGGATGCTTGGGTACACCTGTCGTGCGCACAGATGCGGCGAGTATCTGGGCAACGGGCAAGACCTGGTGGCAGATTCCGCCCGTGGCCAAAGTCACACTGAATGGCAAAATGCCCCAGGGTGTGACTGGAAAGGATGTCATCGTTGCTCTGGCTGGCCTCTTCAACAAGGACGAAGTGCTCAATCACGCCATCGAGTTCACCGGCACTGACGAGACCCTGGGCAGCATTCCCATCGACGATCGTCTCACTATCGCGAACATGACAACCGAATGGGGTGCGCTTACGGGTCTATTCCCTATCGACTCTACCCTGCACGGCTGGCTTCGCGCAAGGGCCACTCTGGCAGCTATGGGAGAAGGACAGGCCAAGGACCACCATCAACAACAGTTTGTCCACGAACGTATTGATAAGCTATTCACTGCTACTGGTATCGTTGGTGAGAAGATGGGTCACATCTTCAAGCCTGCGTTGGCTGCGGACAAGGGAGCGGTATATGCCAAGGAGCTCTTCCTTGACCTGTCAACTCTGTCACCCTACGTCTCCGGTCCCAACTCCGTCAAGGTGGCCACCCCACTGCTCGAGCTCCAGAGCCAAAACATCCCCATCAATAAGGCTTACCTCGTGTCCTGCACCAACTCCCGCGCTTCCGATATTGCTGCCGCTGCCAACGTTTTCAAGGATGCTGCCGTTCTGAATGGCGGCAAAATTCCCAAGATCCCTGACCATGTCAACTTCTACATTGCTGCGGCGTCAATTCCTGAACAAAAAGCCGCAGAAGAGGCTGGCGACTGGCAGGCGCTTTTGGAAGCTGGCGCGCAACCATTACCTTCCGGTTGCGGCCCCTGCATCGGACTTGGTACCGGTCTTCTCGAACCTGGTGAGGTTGGTATCAGCGCCAGTAATCGCAACTTCAAGGGTCGTATGGGTTCGCCTGACGCCAAGGCTTACCTTGCTAGCCCTGAAGTAGTTGCTGCAAGTGCCCTGTCGGGCATAATTTCTGGCCCGGGATGGTACGAGGCTCCTGAAGGCTACCAAGGTGTTCGACGTGGAGAAGGCGATGGTGTTCCTGAAGAAGAACGCATGATGACAATCGAGGACATGCTCGAGAAGGCCATCAAGGACGCTGAGGCTGCCATCGATACGTTCGGCAACGCTGAGCCCGAGACACAATCTGTCAACCCGCCTGCGGCACCAGGTTCGGAAGCCGAGACGCTGACCGAGATCCTCCCCGGCTTCCCTGAGAAGATTAGCGGTGAGATTGTCTTCTGCGATGCAGACAACATCAACACCGACGGTATCTACCCCGGTAAATACACATACCAAGACGATGTTACCCGCGAGAAGATGGCGGAAGTGTGCATGGAGAACTACGACCCCAACTTTGGGCAGATTGCCAAGGCCGGCGACGTCCTAGTATCCGGTTTCAACTTCGGTTGCGGTAGCAGCCGTGAGCAGGCCGCAACTGCTATCCTGGCCAAGGGCATCCCGCTTGTCGTCTCTGGTAGCTTTGGTAACATCTTCAGCCGAAACAGCATCAACAATGCTTTGATGGGTGTCGAGGTACCCAAGCTAGCCAACCGTCTCCGCGAGGTCTTCTCTTCCAAGGATGCGACATCCTCACAACAGGCTATTAAGGAGCCTTCCAATAACAGCGAGTCGCTCGATTCGCCACCTCCCGCCGCTGCTGCTCAGCCAAGTCAAGCCAAGCAACTAACCCGCCGCACTGGCTGGACCCTGGAATGGGATGTTCGCAGGAGTACCGTCTCTGTACAAGAAGGACCAAATGGCGCCAAGTGGAACGTCAAGGTCGGCGAGCTACCTCCCAACGTGCAAGAGATTATCGCTCTCGGCGGATTAGAAAACTGGGTGAAGAAGGAGATTGGTAGCCCTCTCTCGTGAGTATGAAAGGGCTCAGTGATTAGCTTGTAACATTCATGTATACCCAATTGAAAACTTGCATAGACGGCGTTTGAGTATTTAGGTCCATTACATCAAGCAATACAGACTTCAATAGTACATGCTACCAGCACATGTCCCGTGCATCGACTGGAAGGTCTTAACCACATACCTATCCTCCTCACCTCATATAAACCGGCATACCCTTCTCCCACCCCTTCACCCTACAACAATGCCAAGTATCTGTCTCACTAACACCCTGCCCCCCACTACTCTTCTGATCAATACTAGCATACACACTCCAACCCTCCTCCTCCAACAACTCGACCAATACAATCAACAACTCCCGCACCCGCATCGTCTCCTCCCCACTAGCCTGCCATGGATTGCCCCTGAGTTTGCACTCCCACACCCCTTGCTCTTTTAACCCAGACTCCAAGATACAATCCGCACCTACACGAGCCGGGAAGGGCTCGTACAACGAAGCAGGCGCGTCGATGAAGCGAAGGCGGTTCTGGCGACTAAAGGCTACAACACACCATTCGTGATGCACAGGGATCGGGTTCTGAAACCGGAACAGGAGGGTATCTTTGTCCATTGCGGATTTAGAGATGTCGGTGTTGAGTGTCAAGAGCCAGCCTGATGCATGCAGCGTTGCTAGTACACCGTTCATCAGACGCCGTGCTTCAACGCCTTCTTTGCCGTAGCCGCCCCATGGGTAGCCGTTTAGTTTGAACTCGTGGCTGTTTGCGTAGAGCTGCTCTTTACTAATACCTAGCGGCCGGATTGAGAGAATGGTGGCGCGACACTTGGAGATGATGGGCTCAGGGAAGCGCAGGAAGCGGAGGCGGTCTTCTTTATGGAGCGATAGCGATGCGAAGCGTGTTTGTACGGGATGAGTGGATGGGGGTTGTGATGGGGATGAGGAAGGTGCTGTGTAGGCGGGTGGTGGGGGTGCGAAGGATGAAGTGTCTTTGGTGGAATCTGTAGAGTCGCCTTTGGAATGCCCGGATGGGGACTTTCCGCGGAGTTTGTCGAACATCTTGGGTTTGGGGGTGGTGGTGTTGCGGGATGGGAGGGAATCGAGAGAGGACTAGCGGGGTAACTGCGCGCCTTACTTTCCATTGTTGGTGCCTATTGCGCCTTCTACATCTAGGATACGTGACATGTCTGCATGCTGACTATACTGTCTTCGCCCATGTTCGGCCCGAACAGGTGTGCAGATTACAATAGAAGAAGACAATCGACTCGAAAGATCTAGCATCAATGTACGCTTCAGGGTATTCGGTTTCCCTCATGATCGAGCTGGCAGTGCGATCATGCTCCGATGAGTCGGTCTTCACCCGAAAGATAATGTAGTTTCCCTATCGATACCCCGACATTTCGAATGATTCCGTAAGCCGTCACGTTGTGGAAGAAGCTATCAAATCTGTTAGCAACCCAGTCATGTATTCAAGAGACTCAAGACCACTTACAAGTTCGGTAGAACAAACTCTTGCAAGTAAGTCAAGCCGTTCAATTCGAAATGCCACATGTTAGGCACGTCGATCGTGATGGGCATGTCCTCTTTCCCAGCGAACGCCTCGGGTTGCGCCTTCTCGAAGCATTCCAAAGCCTGCTCAATCTGTTTGTATAGATCTTGGAAAGAGACCGCGTCGAACCCGAACGTGGGTACTTTCATACCACCAAGACGTTCAAGAGCTTTCGTGGCGGTAGTGACTTGGAAGAAGATTTGAAGTGCGAGTGGCTGCGAGAAAGATTCTTTAGCTATTGCTTTCATCTTCTAAGTGGGAGGTGAGTAAGATACTTACATGCATATCCGGTGCAAGTCTGGCACTGAGGACTTTCGAGTGCGGATATCCGTTCTCGTCGCACCACTGTTCACCCTTCTTCAGAACCACCAAATGATTCCGCATCGCTTTCTGCAGTGGAGGTACGCATAGTTCGTAGAGAGGAACGGTCGATGTCATGTTGATTGTGTTGTAGATTCACCTAGGTATCCTTGAAGCCATGTGGGAGTGGGGGACTTAAGTGTACCTGCATCACCGATCACTTGAGACGTAGGCCGGCTCGTAGAATATCCCGCATCGCCCCGATGCTAAGGCCCGAAAAGCCGTTTCGCAAACTCGGTACAATCCAATGATGCGCTGTCAATCACCGTTGTAGGCTGCCACGTTTCCAACGCCTGCCAGCCCTGGCGTCCTGTTCCATGCTCCATGTTGGTTCCCACGTGGTCCACGGGTGTGGCTTGCCTTTGGATCGATGGGTCGTTACAAAGCCCTGAGAGATCTATGTTCACGAAGTACATGACGCTGATGATGGGAACTGCCTCTATTATCGGCTACAGACATCCATACGCAGAAGCCTCCCAAACTTTCGATAGTATCGCCCGCACCTTCTCCCCGATCTCGTCGTTCATGGAGCCAGAGTTGACCCGCTTTTGCTCAGCTTGCACTATGAGTAGCTTCTTCTGGAGATGATCCAACCCCTGCTTTACGATAATGCGGCCTATTGCCTTAGATTCCTCACTGTCCAACACGAACCGGCCTACTTGGAACTTGCTGTCGCCTAACTCTACACGGCCTTCACTGTTGCCTCTCTTGATTTGGTTGTCTGTTGTCGCGTATTTTGCTTGCGCAGCGACGTAAAGTGTGCAAAGAACGTCCAGCTCTTGCAAAAGAGCCATGGCGCGCATGGGGTCTGAGGAACATGTGCTGCACTCCATCATTGCACTATACAGATTTGATAGCTTCTGGTCGAGCTCCAAAACCTTCTCTAGTGTATTGTACTCTGTAGCGGGATCGTGTATTTCGATGCCGATTGGAGTTTTGAGGAAGCATTCAGTGTTTGTCGAGGATCTCCAACACATGCACTGCCTAGTCTGGTCGCTTGACAGAGGGCCCTATATATGAAGTAAGCAAATTTGAAGCAATGCACTTGGTTATTAACGCCGTACCCTGATATCCATTTTCACAGTTGCAAGAAATACAAGGTCGTTCAGGAAGAGGATGAGTGACTTGCAGGATGGTACATATGGATACATTGGCCAAACGTGATGCTGTTATACTGTACATCTCTCTCTCCTTTCTCTCCGAACTGACAATGCTCCGATGCTCCGCGGGATAAATATTGATTAGTTTCATGCATAACTCCAGGGCTACAGCCGTGGAGTATCAGAGACTGGTGGGTCATTCATGAAACAGACATTTCGTCCCGAGGTCGGCTCAGTTGCCTGTGGACTTCAGAGAGGAGCGATCAGAGGACTGTTTGGGCCCAGCATGTAGCAACGCGGGGAGTCATAGCTGATGTTCCGGGCTATCGAAAACAACGCGGTAGTTGTGAGTGCGGGTCCTGCGGGAGATGGGCCAAGGCATCCCCAAGCAGATCGCCCAAACTCACTTCTTGTCGAACTTACCGTTCAGAGGGCACAGCGCAGAACAACGAGACTTCTTCTTTTCGTAAATATTCTCTTCACGAGTATAACGAATTACTAATTAAAAGTCCTTGTAGTTCTCTTTAGGTCTATATGTCAAGAACCTTTAGCTTTACACGAATAAAGTCATAGAAGCCTTCCGCAAGAGCAAGTTCGTAGGTTCAGGCTTGTTTGGCGACCGGGTGCAGGCCTACTGAACCACGACGTCATGCACACTAAGCTCTCTCAACGATGAATAAACGATGAAACCAACGTCGTTATCCCACCGATGTCCGCCCCATGGTACATACAGACCTCAACATCAGGATTACGAATATACCGAGTGATTACAACTTTTTGCTTCCTGACGAACTTCAAATGGAAAATATTGAGACCAAAATGAGATAATCCATCAACACGGCAACGTAACGATGATCAAGATCACTAAGCTCTAGCGCCGATCCTGGACCCACAACTCAGGACCTGGAGTTTACCGCGCGCACTGGACGCGCCACATTGAGGCCTTAAGGGGCTCAGTACTGTAAACTCCCGCATCTGTCGCCAAGCCGGCGAAAAGGGGCGCAACGATTTCTTCACTTCATAAGGTTCATTCACTTTGACCACAGCCTCGATCACGACCGGATACCTACTTCCAACGCTTCCAGGCACAGAGACAACGAGTACCTAAAAATACGCCAGTGTTTCGGCATCTACCCGCCATTGAGAGCAGACGCTAACAAGATCCATGCGCAACTTCGTAATTGAGATGGGCAAGGAAGCTGTGATCAGATCCCCGTCCGTACCGTTGGTAGGGCCAAGATATATGCAATGAACGAAGTCTGTTGTTCTCATTACAAGGGAGTGCCAGCCTTACCCGTTCGTAAGTTCGATCCCGAGGCTGCCCCCGACTACCGTTTCACAACCACGACCCGCGACGATTGAACTTGCGACTTATCACGATCAAATTACTTGCTAGAAGTTTGGTGTCTCATGCAAGACCTTGCGTGAAGGAAAGGCTGGCGTAAAGCAGCTTGCGCGTTGGCAACCTTAGAAGTGTGAGGCGTGTCGGCACCGGGCCGACTCCACCCCCACCCAATGCTGGGTGCAGAACCGGTTGGCTGACACTAGCGAAGCACCAGCGTGTCCCGACCTTTCGCCTTCATGAGTACCCTGGTCAACATACATCAACGTTCATACAAGCATTCGGAGTGGCGCCTCACCTTATGACTGGGGTTTTTCGACGTCATCGGAGTGCTTCTCTGTCAAGTCAGAAGGAATTGTCTCAGCGATGGGTACGAAGTAGGAATACGCAATCACAGAATAAGGTATGCCGTACAGGTCCACCAGCCCAACTTCCCCTTAGTCAACTGTCCGTGGGCGTGCGATGATCGACGGAAACTCCCAGAAGCGAAGCTGAAGTGTCACTGTGTCAGCCACTTCAACGCGCACAGTCTATGCCTGCGCCCTTGATCTGCATAATAGACGAGAACACAAAAATCTGGGCCCCGTCGGGCCTCAAGACAGGCCTGCCTCAACGGCGCTGCATGTCCAGACAGGGTAGTAGAGACTTAACACGCGCGACGATGTGTGGCTTTTACTTGCACGGCGTGCCATCGCGGAGACGGGACATCAAACATTGCATCACATTCATTACTAGAAGATGCTTGATGGCCGGTAACGAATGCCGCTGTAAACGTTTGAAGCCAGCTCCTCCGCCGTTCTAAGGCACTCACAGTCATAGCATGCGTACCGAAAGCGAAAACCCAATTTCTGGGTTGTCGATTCTCCTACGATGGTACGAAGTTTGTTCATACTTCTGGTCGACCATGGATCCCCAGGAGTGTACAATTACGATACCGGTTAATAGTAGTCCCCTGCCAATTTATCAAGCCAGTGAACATCTACATCTGTATCAGATAGCATCACATAAGCTCGTGATTATCGCACTGTCAACACTACCACACTCTCATTCCAAGTCTTTCACGTCCATCTGTTCAAGGTCAATCTTCGACTTCAACACAACCGACATATCTCTGTTCTCCTCGCAAAACTACCAACATGGATCCGACGCGCCCGGGAACGCGCCGGCTGCGCAACTCTTGCGATATCTGTACTCTATCGAAGCTCAAATGCAGTCGCGAAAAGCCAGTCTGCCAACGTTGCGTAGACCGTGGCTGCCAACAAGACTGCAATTACAGTGTCGCACGCCGCCCGGGAAGGCGGCGTCAAACATCTATAGTCTCAGATGACGCCGGATCGTATGGCCAGGATGCCAGTGCCAATGGGTTACGAAAAAGGCGTGGAACAGCACCACTGACACCCTCTTCATCTTCCATGGATTCGCTATTTTCGACAAAGAAGCGTCACGATTCGACACGGAACACCCCACAGCAGATCTCAAGAGAAGCAAGCGATGTAGGGGACGGGCGTATGCTTATGAGGTCTCCAGGAATGGACTTGATGGAGTCGTTCACCAACATACCCATGGAACTATCACATAGTGGCGACGGAGTTGACTTTGCACCTATGGATAGTCTTTCGCTATGGGAGTGGGGCGAGAGTGGAATCGACATCAATGCAACGAATAGCCATCACCCAGGCGCCATGCCGCAGATGTGGGATATGTCGTCAGGCCAGGCCATGCTCAGTGGCATGGACTTCGATCTCAGTAACGATACCGGGGGACCAGGACAGGAGCCATCACCACCACTGAGCCATACGAGCCAACAAAACCTATTTCAGGACGACCAAACTCCTCTTTTACCCCCAGCAGACTTCAGCAAACATTCCAAATGCTCCTCTCCAACTGCTTCAAATCCCATCTTCGACCTGTCCAAGAATGTGGATTGCAAATGCTCCACTCAAATCAGCCAACTCATGTATTCTGTCAGTCTGCGGCGTGCGACAGCAGTTCCACTAGACGTTGTTTTCGCTGTGGAGCAACAGCTCAGCCAGACCAAAGAAGCAATCACCGCATGCTCCCACTGCTCTCTCGGCTCACTATACATGAGCATGATGCTTTGCACTGCCATGAGCTGGGTGATTGAGCATCTAGAAGCCTATATGCGCGAGGCAACAACAGTCAGCGCGCCCAACGGCCAAACGACATACCTGACAATCAGCGGCTTGACGCTGAGTAAAGATATGTCTCAGTCGTGTTCTGAGGCGTTAGTCAAACTCCGCCTCAGACGAGTTGTGCAGACAGCACGAGAGTTGTCAATGTTCAATATGGAGACGAAGAGCACGCTTTTGGAGGGACTGCGATCGGTGGCAGCCGAGACTGGAGCGGCAGCGCAACAGATGTTTGGAATGTTGGAAATGAGAGGTGCATTTCAAAAATGAGAAAAGCTTGCGATTCAAGGAATGTCAGCACCAGGGCGTAGGAGGAGGTAGATAGCAGGAGTTCAATGGTAGCGCTGGCAGCACCTCATGATATTTAGAGCAAATATTTCCAGATACCAAAGTATTAAAGCCTTTCATTCTACAATGCATTACGAATTCTCATTGGCCTCCGAGCACGTGGTACTCGGTACATTTGCCTGACATTAACGCTTCGGTGATATAGATGCAATTTCCAGCTGACAGATCAGCCCAGACGTAAATGTCGCAGACAGTAGACAGGTGTACATGTGGAATTTGTAGCCTGACAAGCAGCTGCCGGCTCATTAATTATTCGCCTTCGCATGATGCAAACAGAGACCCGTCCAAGTTTGGCTTCATATGGGAAAGGGCTTTCAATGCTCTTCAAGGTGGGTGCATTCAAAAAAAAAAAGGCCCCGGCATTTTGGCACATGCCCGTAGATGTTGTTATACACCGAACCGTATTACTTGGGGAAGGCTCCGGGGTAATTGAAATGCTCCATCGTCTAATCACTTGAGTACACTCCACACGCACGTGGCTTTGACCCGGAGTAGGCTGGGCCTCGCCGAATTGCTTACCTTACCATCCTCTGTACCTTCCGCTGGAAGAAGAAGAGCTTGCAGAGATAACCATACAGAATCGTTCCTCGAGGTTACAAGCCATGCCAGCGCAACCACCTAAGGTATGTCGAATTACGTTCACTACTACCACGAGAAAGAATAAGGCTGACCAGATCTCAAAGATGCAGTTTCGATATGGGCTATCAAATATCCCTCTTAGCAAACAGTCAATATACGCCATCGCCCTAGCCCTCGCCGCCCTCTGGGTAGTGCAGAGCTTCATCCGAGCATGGTGGCGCCTCCGTCACATTCCCAGCGCGCACTTTACCGCGCCATTCTCCTACTTCTGGATAGGACGTACCACATACAGCGGCCGCCAATACTGGGTACTCCGCGACCTACACACCAAACACGGTCCTCTCGTGCGCGTCGGGCCCAACGAAGTCGTCACCGATGACCCCAACATCCTGCGCACCATCTCTGCGGCGCGCAACCATTACCCTCGCAGCGATTGGTACGAAGCTGGCCGGTTCAACCCGTATCATGGCAATCTGTTCACCACTACCGACCCCGCCGAGCACAAAAAGGCGAAAACAAGGTCCATGGCCGCATACAACGGGCGCGAAACTCAAGGTCTCGAGGCTTTGATCGACGACCAGGTCAAGACGCTTATCAGGGTTGTCCGAAACCGCTATGTGGTGTCTTCGCCAGGAAAGGGCCAGCCTCTACTGGATCTAGCGGCCATCACGAAATACTTCACCATGGACGTAATCACACGGATGGGTTTCGGCAAAGCGGTTGGCTACCTCGAGGACGAAAAAGACCACTACGAATTCTTGGGCACAGTAGACGCGCTTTGGCCGAGGATGTCGACGGTGGCTGACATACGTTGGATCCGCAAGATTGCGTTCTCGCCTTTCGTGCTCAGATTGGTTGGACCAAAGAGCAGTGATCAAAAGGGGTTTGGGGCGCTCATGGGGTAAGTACCTGCCTGACAGTCATTTTGCTTACGTGTTTCTCTTCTTCTAGGCACTTTCGCTAACTTCCGATTAGTTTCGCAGCTGATCAGGTCAGCCGTCGCTTTGCTGCACCCGATGGTGGTAAGGATCATAAGGATTTCCTGGCGAGTTTGATGGCTCGCGGCTTCACAGAAGAAGAGTGCCAATCTGAGGGTCTTTTCCTCCTGCTCGCTGGAAGTGAGAGCACCGCCAATGCCATGCGCTCCATCCTCATACACACCATAAGCTCGCCTGCCGTGTATAACCGACTCGCTGCTGAGATCCAGGACGCGGTACGGACGGAGAAGGTGTCCTACCCCATTACTTTGGAGCAGGGAAAGAATTTGCCGTATCTGCAGGTATGTCTCATCGGAATCGCGCCCAAACGTGTTGATCTTCCCCGCTGACGTATATCTCTTTCTTCCAGGCGGTCATCTACGAAGGCCTACGCATGCGCCCGGCCATCCTCGGCCTCTTCCCAAAACAAGTACCCGCAGGCGAATATCCAATCTTCCACGGAAAGATGCTTCCCCCAGGGACCGATGTATGCATGAACATGTCAGCCCTGCTGCAGTCAACAGATCTGTTCGGCGCCGACGCGGCCGTGTTCCGACCAGAACGCTTCATGGAGGTAGGCGACGAGAGACGCAGACAAATAATGCAGGACGTGGAGATGTCGTTTGGCTACGGAGGCTGGGTATGCGCAGGCAAGAACATCGCTATGATGGACATGGTGAAGGTGGTCTTTGAGGTATGTTCGCAACGTGCGCGATGGTGTTGGTGTGACCGTCGCTAATCCTGGCAGATGCTTCGCGTGTTCGACTTGCAGCTTGTGCGTCCTTTTGAGCCGTGCGATACGATCAGCTATGGCGTGTTCCTTGACAAGGGGTTGATGGTGAAGGTGTCGGAGAAGAAGTGAGATGGAGACGTTCTGTGTTGACCGCCGGGGCAGGCGTGGCAGGCTCGGGGGCAGGCGGCTCGGAGGGCTGATTGGAGGATCTGGCGGGGCCATCACCCAATGAGGCAGTTCAGCCGAGGAGCCTCATCTGCAAGTAGTTTGCTTCTGCGAGAATATGGCTATAAGCCACTACAAACCTGTCTTTGCGCGAATTCCTGCTGCAGCACTATACCTATACATGCGAATCCTTTATGCTATCCATCATCCTTTCTTGGTGACACCTTCACTCTTTCCAGCGATGCAGATATGACCAACGTTTTCCTTATGTCCTGTGTCACGAATGAACATGTTCATAACGCACTTCCTGTTGTTGCCTTTCTTGAGATGCACTTCGTCGCTTACTCATGCGAAGACAATGTCGGTGGAGTGCATGCATCGTCGTTCACCCTTTTGATCGAAGCACTCAAGCATGTACCGGATGTACGTCGCGTGGGCGTACGAATCAGTGACGCATGCTGTTGCGAAGGCTGCAAGTAATATATGGCCAGCAGAGAACTGTCGTGTGAAATATCTGTGCGATTATACGGTCGTGCGTAGCGACTCGAACGCACTTTAACGATCGAACAGCGACTGGGCGGCATGGTGGACACTTTAGAAGCACGTCACAGCAGCATGGAGTCCAACGTTGTTAATTACTGCATTTATTCGACTATCTAATTTCTTTCTTATCATACTCCCTCGAGTACGACACACAACATGACTACCACGCTTGAGTGCGTTTCAACTTCAACGGCAAACCATCCTTGGGCTTGATAGCTGTAATACCAGCAGGTTGTGGCACATAGGTTTTATCTGCCATCTCAAACTCAAAGCTACCCACAAAGGCGGAGATGAATGCCCGTAACTCGACCTTTGCATAGCCCGCTCCAATGCACTTACGCGGTCCATGCAAGAAGGTCATGAAAGCGTAGTTGGTGTGTGCATTGCCATGGTTGTTCGCTCGGCCGCTGTCTTCATCAATCCACCGACCCGGTTCAAAAGTATCGGCAGTCTCTCCGTAGAAAGACGCAAAGCGATTCATAGCTGCGGGAACAATCCACAGACGTGTTCCGGCTGGGATGCGGGTACCGACAACGGTAGTGTCTTCTACGGCGACGCGTGATGTGATGGGCGAGGTGGGCATGAGACGTAGCGTTTCGTTGACCACGGCGTTTAGGACGGGAAGGGTATCGAGAGTTGCAGAGTCGCTGAACCTTTCTGCATCGTTGTCGAAAAAGCGGTAGGGAACGTGTTCGCGAATTTCGGCACGGAGCCGATCTTGCCAGGTAGGGTTAATGGCAAGTAGCCACAGAGCCCAGGTAAAAGTTGCTGAGGTAGGTTCGTATCTGTGTGACTGTTAGCAGCAATTCCCATCGTCCATCAGTAAACGTTGACAACATACCCTGCGCCGATGATTGTTAGAAGCTGGCCAACCAGCTCCTCGTCCGTTAGCGTTCCACTTTGTATGAGCTGCAGTAAGAGGGCCTTTTGTCCGGTGCCTTCGGCGACTTCCTTCTTCCTCTCTTCGACAAAGGCAAAGCAAAGCTGTCGCAACTTATTGCGAGCGTCATCAAGGTCCCGGTTAAATTTCCGTGGGAGGAGTTGTAGCACCCAGGCCGGCAAAAAAGCGTTGGCTATGAACAAGTGACGAACGCTCTCTTTGCTGCCAGTCAACAGCTCATACAACTCCGTGAGCTCATTCGGTTGCCGTAGTGTGTCGAAGTCTTTGCCCAATGCAGCGAGACCGATAGCATCGAGAGTACCTTTATTACCCCACGGCAGAACATCCACCACGGTATGCTTTGCGTCAGCTGAGGCGGTAGACCGTTCCATTGTTTCCACCATATCAATGGCCTTTGACCAGAAAACGGGGCAAAGATCTTGAACGGTTCGATGATTGAATGCCGGCTGAATGCGTTTACGAAGATATTTGTGCTCATCGCCTTCCAAGATGAGGAGAGACGGCCCCAGAATTCGGCTCATTAGCCGTCGAGACACCGCTGGCTTGGTGAATGAGTACGCGCGACGAACCAGCACCTCAGAAAGGGCCTCGTTGCTGACCACTAGGACATGATTGACGTTCATAAATCCGCGGAAGTGGATCAGACCCTGGTTGGGTACCGAGTTTGCCATGTCCAAATAGGCTTGTCCACGGGGGTTGGTGAATTGAAGGAGCCCATGGCCTAAGAAAGGTAGTCCACCCTGTAGCAACACTGTCAGTTATGCACCAAGCATTCCATGGTAATATCTCACTTTTGCTGTGGGAAGATGTCGAAACGGGTTGAAAAGACGGGGGTGGATTTCGACCTTGTACACCAGGTAGATCACATAAACCACAGCCAGCGTCGCACAGAGCGCTGGTAAGGACAATGGAATCGAGGCAAATCGAGAGGAGATCAGTTCTGTATACATGGCGAAGGTATCAAATGGTGTAGAAACCGTGACACGAAATGTAGGATATGTACACAGATTACGCCTGCGATTCTTACTGCGAATGACGTCTGTTTTGCTAGGACAAGCTTTCAGTTTGTTTTGTCCAACATCAATGTTATCGTTCCTGCGCCGGCTCAGAAAAGAGTTCTAGGCTCAGAAGTATCGCGAGGCAGATAAGGCGCGATCGTTGGCGAACGGCTGACGTTGGTGAGGCTGGTCGGGCCAGATGCGGGTGGTAGGCTGGAGGCAATCGCCCGGAATTATGCAACCCAAAACCCCGATGGGATGAAGAGAACCACCCGACAACGGCGTGATTACATTCTCACCGTAACGCGATGATTTTGCGCCAGCTCAACTGTACCAGTTTCGTGCTAGCCTGCTGCAGCGCAAGTTGATATCGTAGTCGCGGGCGGTGTAGGCAAGCGAAGGAGAAGTAGAAGTTGAAGAGCACCCCATATCTTGATAAAGTCATTTATCTTATATATCCCACTGTCAGCTCAACTGCTATGATTTCTCCAAATTTTGCTCCAGAAGAATAACCAGCTGAAACATGATGGAGATGCAAGAGAAACTTTTCATCAACAACGAGGTGAGGACGGAGACAGTACAAGATATGTCGCGGTATGGAAGCTAATAACCAAATGCAGTACGTCGCATCGCATACTAGCGAGAGGCTCACGGTGCACAACCCGTACGATGGAAGTCTTGTTTCAGACAAGATCGAAGTAGCGCTAGAAAAGGATGTCGACTTGGCTGTGTCGGCAGCACAGGCGGCGTTCCCAACATGGCAGGCAATGACAGGCGTACAGCGTAGTGCGCTTATGCTCAAGTACGCCGATCTGGTCGAGAAGCACACTCAACAGATAGCCCAGCTCGAGTCGCAGTGTATGGGAGCGCCCATGATGCTGGCGACGAGGGTGGTGGGGAACCATGTGGCCGCTTTCCGGTATTACGCAGGTTTGACAGATAAAATCGGTGGCACTACTTACACTGAAGATGGCGATGGCTTCTTCAAGATGGTGTTGCAGGAGGCAATTGGAGTATGCGCAGGCATCGGAGCGTGGAATGCGACGCCCATCTTTTCGGCGTTGAAGGTGAGAATGCCGCCTATGTTCATTCTTCCAGGCGATTGCTGACTGGAGTGCAACAGATCGCGCCCGCTATCGCAGCAGGTAACACATTTGTGTTCAAGGCGTCAGAGAAGTCGCCGCTGGGCGCGTTGTACCTTGGACAATTGTTCTGCGAGGCTGGCTTTCCCCCAGGCGTGGTGAACTTTGTGTCCGGCGGGCCAGCGACGGGCGCTCTCCTCGCATCGCACATGGGCATTCGCAAAATCTCCTATACGGGGTCCGTCAGCGGCGGCCGTGCAGTACAGGATGCGGCCACAAAGAGCAACCTGAAGCAAGTCACACTCGAGCTGGGAGGCAAGTCGGCAGCACTGGTCTTTGACGATGCCCACCTCGAAACAGCCATTTCGCATTGCTCGCAGACATTCGCCCTCAATGGTGCTCAGGTGTGCTCCGCAGCCTCGCGAGTGCTTGTCCACCGCGACATCGCCGATGCCTTCATTGCGGGCATCAGCACTGCTTTCAAGCAGTTGGCTGCAGCCCACGGCGCGCCGGCGGAAGCCTTCTTTGGCCCCTTGGTTGACAAGCAGCATCGTCAGCGAGTGCAGGCCTTCGTGGATGCTGCCCGTGACGAGGGTGTCAAGGTAGTCGCAGGCGAGGTGCCTGACCACCCCACCGCCCTATTCATGCCGCCAACGATTCTGATCGATCCGCCAACCAACAGTCGCGCATACCGCGAGGAGATCTTCGGGCCTGTCTTGGCTGTGAAGACCTTTTCCACAGAGGAGGAAGGTCTTGCACTTGCCAACGATTCCTCGTACGGGCTCGCCGCTGCTGTCTTCACCTCCAGTATGCCGCGTGCTCTGCGTGTGACCCGAGCTCTCCATGTCGGCATGGTGGGAGTTAATAGCCCTGTCCTGCCCTTGAGCCAGCTGCCATGGGGCGGATGTAAGGAGAGTGGCTACGGGCGCGAGGGTGGAATGGCTGGTCTGGAAGAGTATCTGCAGTCCAAGACGGTTATGATCAGCATGAAGGACCCAACTTCCGCCAAATAGATTAGTTCGTAGCGTTATAGCTCTGACAATCACACTTCTTTACAACTTCTCGTTCGGTGTACTGCTCCTGACCTTTGCGTGAAGTAAAACAAGAAGCTAAGTGCGAAGCTGGCTCCGTTTTACTGTGCACTCAACTGACAGGAGAATGCGTCTGGTCTTGTTCCGCGCTCGCGGCGTACGTATACGGGAGCAAAGCACATGGCCAAGGTGAGATCATTGTATGGTGCCACAGATGCTGAGTCAAGCTGAGGACACTGCAAGGCATAGATGTCGAGGTTTGATGTGCACAGAAAAGCGTTGGCGACGTACTGACTGCGTGAATGTTCGCATCAAGAGGTGCAGCGTGCCAAGTCTCGGAGCTTCGCTAGCCGAAGTGGTCAAAGCTCTCAAATCGCCAGCCATCCGCAACATTGCTACAAGCACCGATCTCCACATATCGAGGTTTATCAAGATGAAAACACTACAACACATTGATTCAACTTTTTAATATACACCGTCTGAATTGCTCACGCGTCTAGAGTTCTACTAGATGCCTGCCCGTTCTTGGAACCGAATGTACAAATTGGGTCGGTTCAGAGTCTGAAACGATCTCAGAAGCCCAAAATGGGGATCCAGACTCCACAGGCGATTCTTCTTACCTTCTATTCCTTCGGTCTCCAATTCGAAGTCAAAAGACCAAAGTAGATGTGCGATGGTCAACCGGATCTCGAAGTAAGCCAAATTCTGGCCTATGCAAAGTCTTGGCCCTGCCCCAAACGGTGCGGACGCAGACAGCTTGTCGTCCTCAAAAGCTGGGTCCCAGCCCTCGTCGGGGTTGTTGCGCAGCCATCGCTCGGGGTGAAATTCATTGGGCAGATGGAAGTTACGCTCAGAGCGTACTGACGCCCATGGCGACGTGGAGACTGCCGTACCTCCCGGCACTACAAGCGGACCGATCTGCGCACCCTGCGCCGGGGTTTCGCGGGGAAGACTTGAGCTGACCGGTGGGAATACACGCAAAGCTTCTTTGATGCATGCATCAAAATACACCAAGTCTTCCAACTTCTGTAGTGTAATGTCACTTGGGTCTGCGAAGGTGGTACGAATGAGGGTAGCGAGGCGCTGATGGATGTCGCGATGGGTGCTGAGAACCCACATGAAACTGACGAGAAGGGAGGAAGTAGTTTCGGAGCCGGCAACGATGAGGGCCATCATGTCGAGGTAAAGCTCGGTTGGCGATAGGGACTTTCGGGCGTCCTGGTTGCGTTGATAGTGGTAAACTATGTCTTTATGGTCAGACTTTTCGTCGGCAAGACCTGGTTCAATGTTAGCTGACTTTGACTCTGTAGACACATAGCGAAAACCTACGCTCGAGAGTCCTTTTCTTCGCGTTCACGAAAGAAATCATCCTCCACTTCATTGCTTCCTTCGGCATAAGTCTGAGCGCGATACGGTTGAGCAGTGTACCCACTCCCGCGACTCTCCGGACGGCCATGTCCAAGTTCGAAGTAACAAGGACTTTCGTCGTTGCCTCTGCCCATTCAGTAGCAACACCACTGTCCAAGCAGTGGAACGACTCGCCGAAGCATATATCGCCGATAATATCGAATGTTGTAAAGGATACTGTACTTCGTTAGAACATTACTACTCCCAATGACAAGATGGACGGGAGAGGAACTTACACCAATCGGCCATATTCAAGGCTTTGCCATTCTTCCCTCGTGTCTTGATTACGTGCACCAATTTGGAGATCTGAGTCTCAAGTATCTCCTGCTGTGATACAAGTGCAGGCTTCGTGAAGCCCACTGCCATTCCACGTCGGTGTCTCTGGTGCTCAGCACCCTTTGAGAGCCCGATCCCGATACAGCCATCGACGGGTGTTGCAATGCCAATGAAAATTGGTGACTTCTCCAACGCTTTGCCATGCTAAACCAATCTGTCAGCCGAGACTGCACTAAATACATAGGTGCTACTAGTTGGACTTACGCGAAAACCGTATATCTGCTCTGCTCCATATGGTTCGGCAAAGCTCAACTCATTCGGGGAGGTCCGAACGATCGGTCCGTATTTCTCATGCAACTTGTAGTTGTACAAGTGTTGAACACCACGGAAGACTGCGATTGCGCTCGGGATATTCGACACGCTGTTGAGCCATGGTCCTGGATATTTCCTCAAAGGATGCATCCATTGTCGATAAACAGCTGGCCCTATGACGGACACTAAGATCTTCAGGATTTAGTCAGTATTCGCTCTGTGCGTTGGCGCATGTGTAGCTCACCACCAACAAAATGGTCCACCCAGCAAAAGGGTTGTGCGAGAGGGCAAGTTCGAGCACAGCCATCACGCGAGTGGGGTGCTATGGTGCAGAGCTCTTTGGCAAAGGAGAGTAGAAGTGACAGGAATCTGAGTGAGTGAATCTGGGAATTCCTTGTCGGGATTCTCCTTGGTGGTTTTGAAGTGGATCGACGTGCGTCAGAGAACACCAAGGAGGGTCAACGGCACATATACCAACTGTGCTATTGATAGCAAAACGTCGTCAACTTAGTAGACCACAATGAACCGAATCGATTGATGCCGGACTGCGCGGGTGCAATGGTTGATACTACGTCATGACGGGAGAGAGGTTGACATAATATCCCGCGGCCCTATCCAAGGTTGGATTTGGGTTTCGGGTCATTCACCATCAGATCTGACCCCGCGCATGAGTCGCAGATGGGCGATTGATGAAACACTGAATACGCGATTTAGTTGTGTATCGAGAACGACATATGCTACGAAGATACCAGAATCGGCCAGGTGTGCTCTGATATAAATGCAGTACGCCACATCGTGATCATAATCTCACACCACTACAACACTTCGAAGCACTCAACTCGTATACTGAGAAACTCATTCAACATCACCATGTCTGCCTTCCCGACGAAAGTTCTGGCTAATGTCATTGGATTTGGAATCGTTTGGACCGGAGTCTTGATGTTGCAGGTACGTTCAAGTCAGCATGAGTAAACATCAAGTACAACGCTGATTTGAAGACAGCGATTTCGCTCTCAGGGAAAACAAGACCTTCTTCCCATAGATGATCAGAAACCCAAAACGCACTCTGATCAAGCGACTCATAACAAAACCCACGTTGTTAATGAGCGCTGGTATTACCCACCCGACATTGCGGATGACTTGAAGGATATCGACCTTCCGTTCCGGGTCAAGGAGGAGATCTTTGCCACAGCTTGGGAATACACTCGCTGTGTTATTCCTGAATACACCAACTGGTCCCGATATGTTGCCTTCATGCGCATTATCGTGATGGGCATCATCGCGGAGTTCAAGGGTGACCTCATGGACGTTGCCAATGACGACAACGTCGTGGGTTACAGTCTGACCGGAGTATTGAACACATTGTGTGGAGGCACAGCAGGAGGGTAAGTTCCCACCATCAAGCATTTTCGACTTCCCAAGTTCCTCTGCTAACATGTTCGCGTCTTCAGTGAGGAGATGTGCCGCGAGTACCGCTGCTTCCTGTTGATGTCGTCGCAAAAGTCCCGCCACCAGACAAACACTATGCTGTTCCGTCGTTACAGTGTCGCTCTATCCAAGGGCCCTTGGCAATTCTTCCGCATGCGCGATACTGACGCGCTCGCCCGCTTCACCATTGGTGTAGCGCTAGTCTGCAATGACCTCGACAACATCTGGTTCACTGAGGAGCAATTCGACATCATGGCCGAAATCGGGAACACCATGTACGACGGCATCTCCTACTGGAAGCATCGTTCCGAAGGAGAGATCAACAGCACCTTCGCATATGTCCCGGAGGAGAAGCGCGTCTTGGCGTACCACAAGTGCCGCGAGGCGCTCTGGGCTTTGGACGTAGCGTGGGCGAGACAGCCCGAGCTGAAGTGTGTCATCAACTTCCTCCGCTACTTCGGTGGCCCAATTCACATGATCATGCGACGATACCGCTTCGTGGAGGAGGGTCTTACCCTGGGCCGACCCGAGGACCAACGCGTCATCCAGCAGACACGGAGCAACGTCAAGCTCTGGAACAGACTAGACGAACAGAAGAAGGCCAAGGAGCAAGAGAAGATGAGCCTTGAGCAGTACCGTCACGTTCTGGCGAATGAGAAGGTTTTGTTGTTCAATGGCCTTGCGCCAATGCTCGACAAGGCCGAGCAAGGCCTGTGCAACAAGTGCAGCTACCGTGAGACATACGGTGCCCCGCAGGCCCATACCTTTGGTGGAGTTGTTCTGTGCAACGACTGCCAGCAGAATTGGGGCGACTATACGGAAACTGTGCTACAGCGCATGGTCACAGCCTTCCCAGAGGCAGCTGAGACTGTCCGTGTCAGCGAGATGCGATCGAGGTCTTCAATGGCACCGTAAGGATCGCTCGAACCTTTTGACGAGAGGGTATTGTGTTGGATATGACATCGCGGTGCCTTTTGTCTAGATTGCACTTGTGGAGAAGGCACATGCTTTTGTATATTATGTGTTCGGGAGATGTTAGAGAGGTAGACGACAGTAGTGAAAATGGTGGGAACGAGCGACCTCGCCACGTCTTGATACCAGGCCGGTTCTGTTTGTATAGATAGTTCAAATGGAAGTTTTGCCCATACGAAGTGGTTCTCTGGACGCTGCTCTACAGAGCAGAGTTGAAGTTGTCGCTCTTGCTGCTCTTGCTGCTCTTGCCGAGAAGGCTCAGATCCCGGGATGGCTGGCAACGCTATCTTCGCGATGCTGGAGCCAAATGTAGTGTGGCGCGCATGCTAATTTGGCGTATGAAATATATTGCAAGATAGTACGCTGTGGATGCGACAACAGATGCGCAAGTGTGCAGTTCGAGCTCAATGTGAGAAGATGGTGTATCCTGGGTGCTGTTCGGGGGAATTGAGTGTCTTGCAGCGGCCCTTGCTCTCTGGTGGGGGCGAGGCCCCTGGAGCAGAATAGTGGGCCCGTGCCTGGGCGTCGGGGACACAATCTAAAGCCTGACTTCGCATCCGTCTCCCATTGATACCAACAGCTGGTCTCACCTTGCTGCTACATCATTTTGTAACGACGGTATCCTCAGTGTCACTCGGCGCGTCTTCATTGACGCATCAGAGCACAAGTTTAATCAATCTCACGGAATGTTCTCATCCCCAAAATCTCCCCACGATGCGCACGTCAATAAAATCTATCGATAGCAAACACTTGTCATTCCTACTATATAGTTCCGGCGCACTACGCCTTTACAAAATTCCCTCCTCAAACGTCCTGATACACTTCGCAGCCCCCCAACGCCGGATCAGACGCGAAAGCCTCAAAGACATCCTCACCCACGTTCAAGAAGAGATTAAGCCCATTCTTGTACCAAGCGTTACCAACGGCCTCGCCATTGGGCACAGCCTCTGTCAAGACGAACAGATTGGGTATGGAAGACGACGGGATATAAAATGACGGGCTGAGCGGTCCCAGGTGGAACTTCTCGTATCCCAAATGAGCGACAGAGCTGAAGATAAGGTGTTCGTCACCACCTTTGAACGCAAAGGTGCGCGACGGGCTATCTCTAAACGTCGCGTCGTAGGTAATCGCATGCATTGCGGTGTCATCATACTGGCCGAGGGTTTCTGTGACTTTCATGGCCAGGTTGATGGGGTCTGTGGCTTTGGCTGGGTTACTCTCTGCGTCGGGAGAGATCATTACGTTGACGTATGGTGAGCCCAGGAGTCCGTCGCGTACGCCTAGAAGCCAGCGGAAGCTACTCGATAGGTGCAGGTCGACTGGCGGTCGTTGGACTTGACCGCGAGCACGGTTGAGGCACCCCCAGAAGAAACCAATCAGTACTGCCTGATCGGTTAGACGCATTGAACCTTTTGATTGTAGTTCCCTGAGCTTATGCTCGACTTCCGTGGCGGGTATATGCAAGAGGTAGTTGTAGATGGTTTCCGGATCCGAGGCCTGCGTGGCATCTGCATCATTGGGCTTCAGTGTACGGCGATATGGGCCGCGCGTGGGAAGCGTGCGAGCTTTCTCAAGGAGCGCGGGGCCTTCTTCTTCGAGATCGATCTTAGCGAGTTGCTCGTTGAAGATGTCCGGCTGCCATGAGGGCCGGTTCGCGGACGCAGCCTTCTCGCTGTGAAACATTTGTCCATAAGTCGACGACCAGCTTCCCAGGAACTTTGCCGCAGTATAACCATCAGCCAAGCCATGTTCAAAGTCGATGCCGAGACTGAATCCGCCGCATGCGAAAGCCGTGAATTGGATTTGGATGCCAGAAGGCTGAGAAGATGGAGTTGGAAACAGGGCCCGGATGGAGGAGGGAGAGTAGTCCCATAAGAATGTCGATTCGTTCAGAGCGGCCGGTGGAAGCAGGCTGCGAATGCGCGACTTCGTGCTCGCTTCAATGAACTCTACCGCCTTGTCGCTAGGACTGCCCCATTCGACAGTGGTCCGTTCGTACTCTTGCTCGTGTTGCTCCGAACTTGAAGTCTTGCCGGTTTCCAAAGTTCCAACAAATCGTGGGTAGACATCGAGTGTTTTGGAGAGACTCGCAGCAAGGCGCGCGACGAGGTCTTGGGGCGGCTGCTTCGGCTTCTTGAAGAGATATATCGTTGGGACTGTGCGACGGTAGGCATACCATGCGTCCAAGATTGGTAAAGCCGCGGACTGTGGTGATATCTTCTCGTAGGACTGTGGCCAGATCTCGTGTATTTTGACAATGTCGACTTTCATTTTTGCGGATGACGAAGTTCGATGGAACGATTACACTCCGACAATAAGATTATGTTAGGACAGAACAGAAAATTCCAACAACGATGAAGGGATACTGGAATTACCAGAGTGGTGGGTGTTGGCCCTTGCGCGAAAGAGCTGGTCGCCAATGCTGCGTATGCCCCGATGATGCTCGACTCATTCTGTATTTCATGACTTTGTCCCGAGGTTCTTGGTGTTCCGACACTTCTCATTCGGGATCATCTAGTTGCGTATAAGTCGTACGGAATTCGGAAGATGTGGTTGCGTCGTTGTGCTTTGTCCCGAACTGCGATGGTAAACAATATCGGGCTAGTTGGCCAGTCGACCCTAAACACCGTGTTTCATTAGATCCGACTTCTAGATAATACAACTGCCCATCGCGACGAAAGAACTAACCGGAAAAATATAGCCCGCTGGTACGCCGCAGGAAAGGACTGGTCGGGACTCGCAACTACCCCGAACGTCGACTTGATCACGTGAGCCGGTGGTCTATACCACCTGGGCAGCCATGGAGGTCAGCAATAATGACAACAACATTCCGACGTCGTCATAAACGGAGGCGCAATGTTATGGCGATGGTTTCGGGTCGTCAAAGAGTTCGATCTGACGTAAAGACAGCATCGCGATGGCGGGTCAGCGATGTTTGATCCGGGAGCATACGTAGTTGTGCATCCACCCTGATAGTCTTTTGGAACAAATAGCAATATATGCCTGAGCCTACTTCTTGACGCTTCTCTTTCTTATCTCATTGATACTCACAACCAAGATACCCATCACACCCGCCTTTTCATAATGCCGCTCTACTACACAGACACCACGCCCACGAACGGCATTCCGGACATGAACGGCGTGCCTTCAGATGCTCCTCCACAATCGAAATCCGATGATCTGTCGAATGCGATAGCGATAGTTGGCATCAGCTGCAAGTTCGGAGGGTCAGCATCCAACCTCGATGGTCTATGGCACACGTTATCCAGCGGCGAGAGCTGCTGGTCGCCAGTTCCCAAGAGTCGCTTCGACATTAGCAAGACATCGCATCCCGACTCTCAGCGGACAGACAGTGTAAGTGTCCTCAAGCACCTTAAAACCATGGGTAGTAGCTGATTATCCACGTGAAGCTTCATGTAAAGGGCGGCTTCTTCATCGAGGACGATTTGACAGAGTTCGATGCGCCTTTCTTCAACCTTACGGCGGAGGTCGCAAAGTCCATGGACCCGCAGCTGAGACTGATGTTAGAAGGAGTATACAATGCGACTGAGAGTGGTAAGCTAGAAACCCGAATCACCTGACGCGCTGTTTTGCCAGAGCTGACAGAATGACAGCGGGTCTTCCCATCGAGAAGCTTTCCGGCTCGAACACCTCCGTATATTCTGCAACTTTCGGCAGAGACTATGCCGAGATGTTGATGAAGGACGCGGACTCAATGCCCACATCTCTCGTCACTGGAAACGGTCCCGCCATGTTCGCCAACCGTGTTTCACATTTCTACAACCTGATGGGACCCAGTGTCACAGTCGACACGGGATGTTCAGGTGGCCTAGTAGCCCTGCACATGGGTGTCAATAGCATCCGGAACCAGGAATCAGAAGTTTCCATCATTGGAGCCTCCAACGCAATATTGAATCAAGACTTCTACATCGCCATCTCGAATCTGGGCCTTCTACACGAAGACGGGAAGTGTTATTCCATGGATCATCGTTTCGGTGGTTACGGCAGGGGCGAGGGCATGGCCGTGTTGGTGTTGAAGAAGTACTCCGCGGCAGTCAGGGATGGCGACCACATCCACGCTTTGATCCGCGAGTCTGCTGTCAATCAGGACGGCAGAACCGGAACGATAACGTCTCCCTCCATGGACGCGCAACAGCAGCTCATCAAGCAATGCTATAGCCGGGCAGGAATCGACCTCTCGTCAACAGGCTACGTCGAAGCCCACGGCACAGGAACCGGGGGTGACGCTATTGAAGCCGAAGCCTTGGCATTGACCTTCGGTAACTCAAGAGAGAAGTTTGACCCAATCTGGGTCGGCTCTGTCAAGAGTAACATCGGACATACTGAACCTGTTAGCGGGCTAGCAGCAGTCATCAAAGCAGCTCTCATACTACGCCACAAGCAGATACCTGCAAACCCTACCTTCGAGAAAGCCAATCCGAACATACCACTAGAGGATTGGAAGCTTCAGGTACCGACAGAGCTGACGCCGTGGCCGAAAGACAAGCCGTTCAGGGTATCTGTCAACAACTTTGGTTATGGTGGAACCAATGCACATGTCATTCTCGATGCGCCCCCAAGCCCTGGCGAACAACGTCGCTTCGCACTCCAGAATGGCAACGGCGAGATCACCAATGGACATGCGAGCAGCAATGGACATGCGAGCACCAACGGACACGCCAGCACTAATGGACATGCCGACACCAACGGGCACCCAAGTACCAATGGTCATGCCTCCAGCAACGGCCATGCGAGCAATGGGGCTGATCAACCTTCCGATAGCTCCACCGACACGTCGTCTCTGGTCTACATGTTGAGCGCCAAAGAAGAAGCCGGTGCAGTCACACGATGCAAAGACCTAGCAAAGTATATCCGCAACGCCCTGCAGGCAGGAAATGCCCCAGCGCCCAACGATCTAGCCTACACGCTTTCCGAGCGCAGATCGAGGTTCCCATGGACCGTCGCCGTCAAGGCCCGCAGTCTAGAGCAACTAGCCGGCCTCCTCGAAGACACCCGCTTGAAGCCGACCCGCGCATCGTCTGCGCCAGTCCGTATAGGCTATGTGTTCAATGGTCAGGGTGCGCAATGGTACGCTATGGGCCGCGAGCTCATGACCTCATCGGAGGTGTTCAGCTCTTCCATCGATCAAGCTGAGGCCCACTTGCGAGAATTTGGTGCGCTTTGGTCGTTGAGAGAAGAGCTATCGCGTGATGCGAAGACTACCAAGGTCGCGGAGATTGAGCTTAGTCAACCGCTCAGTGTCGTTGTTCAGCTGTGCTTGGTTGACTTGCTGCGGTCCTGGAATGTTGTTCCTTCCGCTGTCGTCAGTCACTCGAGTGGTGAGATTGCGGCAGCATACGCGGCGGGCGTTCTTTCGTTCAAGGAAGCTGTTGGCGTTGTATACCACCGTGGACGACTTGCCAAGAAGTACCAGAAGATCACAAAACTATCAGGCGGCATGATGGCTGTTGGTCTCGGTGCTGAAGAAGCCCGAGAGTACCTGACTGATCTCTCTTCTGATGGTAAGGTGGTAGTCGCCTGTGTCAACAGTCCATCCAGTGTCACGATCTCTGGTGACATGGACGCCCTGGAAGAAGTCGCAGACCGTTTGGCAGAGGATGATGTCTTCGCACGGAAGCTGAAGGTCCCTCTCGCCTATCACTCTCATCACATGGAGCATATGGCGGAGGAGTACCAGAGTTGCCTCGAGGAACTTCTAGGACCGATCACAGAAGGCGAGCTCGACGTCGCTTTTGCATCTCCAGTGACGGGTGGCATTGTCACTTCACGTTCCACTTTTGAGGCCGCACACTGGGTGCGCAATCTCACCAGTCCCGTCCTGTTCTCGAACGCGTTGGAAGCGTTGATCTTCGATTCGACAAAGCCTGAGGGTGAAGCGCCAACACCGAATGGCCAGGTCTCCGTCTTCTTGGAAATTGGAGCGCACGACACCTTGTCAGGTCCCGTCAGACAAACGCTCGGCGAGACACGCATGCCGTACCTCTCTTGTCTGAAGCGACCTTTAAATGCGATTGACACCGTGCAAGACGTCGTCTGTGCCCTTGTGGCGCGAGGCTACCCTGTCCATCTCACAGCTGTGAACAAACCCCAGTCGAACATCTCACATCAGTCAAAGTATATCCATGACCTCCCGGAATATCCTTGGAACCATCAGACCTCCTACAAGATCGAGCCAAGGGCTTCCGAAGAGCATCGATACAAGCGCTTCAAGCCCCATGAGTTGCTTGGTAGAGCCATTCCTGGATCGAATCCTTTGACTCCGACCTGGCGCAACTTCCTCAGGACAAATGACATTCCTTGGCTAGTCGACCATCAATTGGAATCAAGTGTGGTCCTTCCTGGCGCAGGATATGTGTCAATGGCCATCGAAGCAATGCGTCTTCTCAAGAGCAAGCCTGACCAAGAGGTACCTCAGTTGCAGTATCATTTGCGAGATGTGGACATCATCAATGCTCTCATTATACCTCAAACGTCGAGTGCCTCGAACAGAGGAACAGAGGTCCAGTTCTCGCTTCGTCCTTGCAGCGACAAGGACCTGGACAACGCCGATTGGTACGAATTTGAGTTGTGGTCGGTCAGCGCCAAGCACGCTTGGATACAGCACTGCAAGGGCTGCATCACAGCTAGACCAGACCACGGCGTGCATCTACTAGATGATGCCAGGGCTTTTCTTGGCTCTGTACTGTCTCATCAAAAGCACACCAAGGAGATCGAGCCCGAGACCCTATACCAAAGTTTGCGAGATTCGGGCTTCCACCACGGACCAACATTCCAGAACATTGTTGGGAGTCGCGTTCTTCGTGAACGATCGGAAACCGAATTCTCTGTCGCTCCAGCAGCCTTTGAACGCGAACAGCAATACGTAATACACCCAACGACACTGGACTCGATCTTCCAATGCTGTTACGCGACTCTACCTGCCGATCTGACGAAGGATGCAATGTTCATACCTCGCTCGATCCGGAAGGTGATAGTGCCTTCCCAGCTCGGTACGCATGCGGACCAGCGGTTGCTCGCAAGCCTGGACTGCTTGTCATCAGGCACCAAAGGTTCAATCTTCACCGGCTCAGTGTTTCCCACAGGAGATGATGCGCACCAAACGGGATCGTTCGAGATGCAGAACTTCCGTCTCCAGCGTGTTACCCAGGCGGCTACGCGCGCGCAAGATGCGAAGTCAGCGCAACCTGCGATCCATTCCAAAAGCCGATGGGAACCCGACATCCATTATGCTATCCCAGATGATATCAAAGACTCGATGAGGATTCCCTTAACCCAGTCTGAACTCGACTTTGCACGGGACGTCCGCGAGATATCTTACCATCATATTGCCAGAACTCTGGAGCAGCTGGGACCCAAGGCGGACGACCAATGGACTTGGTATCACAAGAGGTTCTACGAGTGGATGAACTCCATCATCCTGACGGCCGACAGAGGTACACTCATGTCAGGGAGTGATCAATGGTCTACGAGGAACAAGGCTTCTATCGAGGAGCTCTGTGATCGAGTGGCCCAAATCAACGCGTCCGGAGAGTTGGTCCAACGCGTTGGAAGCCATCTGTGTGACATCGTGCAAGGCAAGTTAACACCTTTGGAGTTGATGATGGAAGACGGACTCTTGAATCGCTACTACGAGCAGCTTCCGCAGCTTTGCAACGGCTCTTACAAGCATCTCCGAAAGATTGTGGAGCTTTACTCTGTTGTGGAACCCGGAGCCAAAGTCATCGAGATCGGTGGCGGAACTGGCGGAGCAACATCCGTTGTTCTGGATGCTTTCGCTGCGCGATCTGAGCAAGAGTCAGGTGCTTCGCTACTGGGCCATTACGACTTTACGGACATCTCTTCAGGGTTCTTTGGCGCAGCAAAGACCAAGTTTGCCACTTGGGAAGACAATATGAATTACTCCAAGCTCGACATCGAGCAAGATCCGATCGAGCAGGGGTTCGCAGCCCATAGTTACGATCTTGTAGTTGCTTCGCATGTGCTCCATGCGACACCGAGCCTGGAGCGCACCTTGTCGAACGTCAGAAAGCTGCTGCGACCTGGAGGCCAGCTAGTCTTGCTCGAAGGGAGCCAGGATTCACTCGACGTCCAATTGATCTTTGGAACAGTTGAGAGATGGTGGTTGAGCGAAGAGCCTGAACGCCAAACATGCCCTTACGTCAATCTAGGAGTATGGGACAAGGCTCTGAAGGCAGCAGGCTTCTCTGGCGTCGAGTTCGAGATTGGAGACTGTGAGAACCCTGAAGTCCAGTTTACCAGCACCATCTTGTCGCACGCCAAAACCCGGGATCCATTGTATCCGTCTTCAATTTCCGTTGTCGTACCGTCAGCTTCGGAACCTCAAGCCTGGTGGGATCAAGTATCAGGAACCGTGCAGCACGTTACTGGCTCAGCTCCCTCGGTGGAGACTCTGGATGAAGTTGAGGCAAACAGTGACCGTCTGCTCATCATGGCGCTCGACCATGGCACGCCTTTCATCAATACCATGGATCGCGGTGCATTTGAAAAGCTCCGAAGTCTCCTTCTTCGGTCTAAGGGCATTCTTTGGCTGAGCTTTGGTGGAGCTGTCGACGGTGAAGATCCACGCTTTGCGCAGGTGACTGGTCTCTTGAGAACTCTACGACGCGAAGATCCAAGCACACGATATGTTCGGTTGGCATGCGAGCCACCCCAACAATCATTGCCAACCGAGACCATCCTGATGCTTGCGCATGTGTTCAAGCAAAGCTTTGACTACAGCACATCTGAGAACGTCAATATTGATTGGGAATATTCCGCCAAAGACCAGAACCTGTACGTTCCCCGCATCTATCCGGATTTTGAACAGGATCGGGCTGTCAGCGGAGGCGCAAAACCTCTTCAGCTGCAGGAGTTCAGCTACTCCGGCAAATCACTCGTCCTACAACCATCAGGCAGCGGTACATCTGGCGCAGAGTCCTGCTTTGTGGATACATCTGAGGCGGTAGATGATCTACCGAGTGGATTTGTTGAGATCGAACCGAAAGCCTTTGGGCTGAACATTGTAGGGGCGAGTGAAGACAACGAGTCGGTTGCGCATGAGAGCAGCGGTATCATCAGGAACCTTGGCCCGGACACACGAGACTCTGGACTTCGCGTTGGAGATCGAGTGTGCGGCATGTTCAAAGGACCTATCAGCAACGCCGGTCGCGCTCATTGGACCAACGTCGTCAAGGTTTCCGACAAGCTTACATGGGATGAAGCCGCGTCCACCCCATATGCATACTCCACCGCTTGCTTAGCCTTGCGCGACATCGCAAGACTTCAGAAGCATGAGCGAGTATTGTTACACTTTGGTACGGCAGGTGTGGGCCAGGCTGCTCTTGCACTGGCGGAGAACATCGGAGCCGAGATCTTCGTCACTTGCGGAACAGACGAAGGGCGTCGAGTTCTGCTGGAAGATTACAACATCGCTCCCAGCCATATCCTGCAGGATGAAGCCGCCTCTCTCGTTTCTGCTATCATGTCTCAGACAAACAGCGAGGGAGTTGATGTGACGCTGAGCTCAGTTACTGGGCCGTTGCTGAAGGCATCCTGGGAGTGCACTGCACCATTTGGTCGCTTTGTGCAGATCGGTAAGGCTGATACCGAGAAGGCAAAGCATCTTGACATGTCGCCCTTTGGCCGCGGAGTGTCTATGACTGGTCTTGATACCCTCCAGTACAGCGAGATGAGAGGCGCCATGTTCCACAGGGCATTGGCGAACTCCATCGAATTGTTGCAGCACAAAGAGGCGAGACCCGCGACACCAATCAAGGTTTTCAAGCTGGCCGAGATCCATGGAGCGCTCCATTATGTCCGAGGTGGGAGCTACATGGGTAGTGCTGTGATCCTGCCACAGCCAGGTGACGAGGTTCATGTCGTCCCGAAGGCTGAAACGTCGCTTGGGCTAGACGCTCCAGATTCTACATTCATGATCGTCGGAGGTCTTGGAGGCATCGGACTTGCCACTGCTTCGTGGATGTTGGAACAGGGGGTCAAGAATCTGTTGATCGTCTCCCGCAATGCTGTCGCTCATCCGAAAGGGTTGGCGTTGGTTGAACAAGGGCAAGAGCACGGTTGCAACGTTCATCTTCGCAACTGCGACATTGCCGACGAAGGAGCGGTCTGTAGTCTCCTCGCAGACGTGAAGGCAGAGTTACCTCCGATCCGTGGAGTTCTTCAGATTGCTGCAATCCTTGATGACACTGTCTTCGAAAGCATGACCTTCGAGCAGTGGCAGAAGGCCATTGGCCCTAAGGTCACTGGTACGTGGGCCCTTCACAACAACCTGCCTGACCTCCAATTCTTCATCACGACCTCTTCCGCCACTGCAGTTCTCGGCAACGTGTCACAGAGCAACTATACCGCTGGCGGTACGTTCCAGGACGCGATTGCGCGATACCGCACTGCCCTTGGCCTGCCCGCTGTGACGATTGATCTTGGTCCTATTGACGATGTCGGATATGTCGCACAAGGAGGAGATGTGGTGAAGAACCGCGTGGAGAAGGCCCTTGGCATGAAATGTCTTCCGATTGCCCATGTATTGCGACTGTTCGAGGATGCAATCAGGAACCCAAATCGACGCCGGGCCGAAAACAGTCAGATCATTACGTGTATCACTGGATACAGCAAGTTGGTTGACGATCCAGCGGTGAAGAAAGACCGTCGATTGGGAACCCTTCGACTGGGCGATGATACCACGACAGAAGCCTCAGCTCAGGGACAGTCTGAGTCTTCCAAGAACATCGATGGATTGATATCTCAGTTATCGGCACTGTCGGCGGGTGACAGCAAAGCGAAGGAAGTCGTCACAGACCTGCTAGTAGCCAAGGTTGCCGACTTGTTCAATCTGGAGACGAGCGCCATCGACACTGCTGATGCGCTCACAAGCATCGGCGTCGACTCCCTGGTTGCTGTGGACTTCCGGAACTGGTTGGGTAGCGTTGTCAAAGCTAAAGTCAGTATCTTCGAGATTCTACAGACACCGTCGCTAGGCGAGTTCGCTGGCTTGGTTGCAGAGAGGAAAGGATAGGCGCACAGCCTTTCATTCTGGATTTGATTGCGCGTAGAACAGGGGCGTTTATTGTTTCGTATAAATCTTCTTGTATGATGTGGTTAGCTAGTTAGTCAATTACTTACGATCTGAGGACTCGGGCTTCATCATGCGCGTCACGTGCCGACTGCAAATTTCCGACTTGACAGATTTCTATGCTGCGCGAGGCAGAGTTCACGTGTAGCAGGCGGAGTGCTCCTCAATCGCGTGATGTGATGCTGCCGGTGCGTGTCGGGATGGAGGGACAAAGTTTCGCGTCTGGGGGCGCGTGTGGTAGCGGCGTGGTGCTTGGCGGGGCGATGCCGGACGTTGAACTCGCTTCCCCGACGACTTTTTTTGAGAGCGGGTATCGTTGGGCATCTTATCTCTAGCTCCCGTTCTTCACTGCTCGGTACCGCAATTGCCTTGCGCTGTTGCTCCCTCTCACACCTGTCAATTGTCCATTTCTGCTTTGCTTGAAATCCTCGACCATGACGCCATCACCTTCTGAAGCCGCCGCAAAGGTTGCGCAAGCCGCTGCCGGCACCAACTCGTCCGCAAAGGTGTACAAGAGGGAGTCCAACACAGCTAGGGTCCTGGGTGCAGGTACATCGGCCATTCTGGAGTCAATATAGCATATCTGACATGCACAGGATGTGCGGGAATCGCAGAGCTCATGGTCTTCCACCCGGTCGACACGACGGCGAAGCGGTTGATGAGCAACATTGGCAAGGTGCGACATGTGGACCATACAATACCCCGACGGCCTCTGACTCGAACACATGTAGATTGAGAACGCTGCACATCTCAACAAGGTCGTCTTCAGAGACGCAGCCGGCGCGTCAGTCTCTGGGCGATTCTTCTCACTGTTCCCCGGTCTCGGATATGCCGCCGCATACAAGGTGCGTGGAAAAGTGCAAGCACACAGGAACTCGGACTGACAGGAACAGATCCTCCAACGAGTATACAAGTTCGGCGGACAGCCCTTCGTACGCGACTACCTCGCCCACAACCACGGTGACAGCTTCGACCGCGCATTCGGCAAGGGCAACGGCAAGGCTATCATGCACGCGACTGCCGGTTCCATAATCGGTATCGGTGAGATTGTCCTCCTGCCATTGGATGTTCTCAAGATCAAGCGACAAACCAACCCTGAGGCTTTCCGAGGCCGTGGGCTGTTCAAGATCATCTCCGACGAAGGGCTCGGGCTGTACCGTGGTTGGGGATGGACGGCAGCGCGTAACGCTCCAGGATCATTCGCAGTATGTACACCACTCTGCTTACAGCTATCCGAATACTAACACACCTCCAGCTCTTCGGTGGATCCGCTGTCGCCAAGGAGTACTTCTACAAACTCACCGACTACAACTCGGCCTCATGGTCGCAAAACTTTGTCGCCTCCATCGCCGGAGCCAGCGCATCGCTTGTCGTCTCTGCCCCTCTCGATGTCATCAAGACGCGTATCCAGAACAGGAACTTTGAGAACCCCGAGAGCGGCTTCAGGATCGTGTCCAACATGATGAAGCACGAGGGTCCCACGTCCTTCTTCAAGGGACTGACGCCCAAGCTGCTCATGACAGGACCCAAGCTGGTCTTCTCCTTCTGGTTGGCCCAAACACTGATCCCTGCTTTCGGCAAAATAATGTAATATGTAGCGATGAACTTGTCCTGATGTCTGTACTATATGGGGGTTTCGGGTTACGGTGCTTTAGAGCTGGCAGGTTGGGCTACGTCAAAGGCAACGACGTACGACGGACCGCACACTGCTGCAAACGAATGACACATTCTCCATTCCATGATCAGTAGGTGAAGGCTACTCGTAATCGATGGTGGTGATGCGTGCCATGGCTGAGTGACTGGGGCGGTGGACCCTGGCGGCTGTCACGTGGGTGCACTGATGGCACCCACCTGGCACTGTACATGATGATGCGTGATCTGCGACTGTCTTTCACTGGCAACAAGACAAAGCAGAGTCAGACGTCAGACGGCGTGCGGGCGCCTCACTGGACAAAGCTAGGCGGCAGATAAGCAGGCGTGAATGTGATGTTGATGGCGCGACAAGCTACGGCAACTTGTGACCACGGATTTGGGCCTGGCTGAATGCCAAGCTATTCACATCTGGTATCCGCGCATTGCACCCCATCACCCTCTACTTAACACCGTCCGCCTCGACGACCCGCGATACCCCACAACGACTGCCTCTGACCACCCCCAACTTACATCTCTTAGTCTCTTCCCTCTTTCCACCCCCGCAACACCGCCATCATGAACCCTGAGTGGTACGTAACCTCCGCGCGACGCCCACCGCCACAGGCCGGGGAACAGCGCCGCCAGATCTGGGGGTGCGACTGTGCTAACGTGAAGACCCGCAGAGTTACTTTTTGCCATCGACAGCAGCCCTGGTGCTGCCCGTCTTGCCATGCAAGGCTCCCGCTGACGGCTCGCTTCGACAGATACGACTACCTCTTCAAGCTCCTCCTCATCGGTGACTCTGGTGTCGGAAAGTCGTGCCTGCTCCTCCGTTTCGCCGACGACACATACACCGAGAGCTACATCTCGACCATCGGTGTCGACTTTGTGCGTTGTCCCGCGCACCTGCAGCCCCGGTCGGCGATAGTCTAACAAGCCCCAGAAAATCCGAACAATCGAGCTCGATGGCAAGACGGTGAAGCTACAGATTGTGCGTACACTGCAGAATGCAGCATCTGGGTGTGAGTGCTGACAGTCATCGCAGTGGGATACCGCCGGCCAGGAGCGCTTCCGAACCATCACATCCTCGTACTACCGCGGCGCCCACGGCATCTGCGTCGTCTACGATGTCACCGACATGGACTCTTTCAACAACGTAAAGCAGTGGCTGCAGGAGATTGACCGATACGCAACCGAGGGCGTCAACAAGCTGTTGGTCGGCAACAAGTCCGATATGGCGGACAAGAAGGTTGTCGAGTACACCGTAGCAAAGGTACCATCATCCCGCTAACCCCAGAGGACGCACGCCATCTAACAGCTCAAACAGGAGTTCGCAGACAGCCTCGGCATCCCCTTCCTCGAGACCTCCGCAAAGAGCGCCACCAACGTCGAGCAAGCTTTCCTGACCATGGCCCGCCAGATCAAGGAGCGCATGGGTACCACAACCGCCAACACCAAGCCCACAGTCCCCATCGGCCAGGGCCAGGGTGTCCAAAACGGATCCGGCGGTGGTTGCTGCTAGAGAAAGAGGAAGAGTTGTTATGTGTCGGAGAACGGACCGGTGTCTACGGATGAGCAATGCACGGCGTGGGTGTTTGAGCTCCCGCCTTTACGCCATGCGAGGGTTGGTGCAGTACTACGATAATGCTCACTGATACATGACCGCCATGTCTCCCATTCGTCACCACCTCCACGTTTCCATCCCGAAGTTGTGCGCTAGCATGGCGACATCCGATCGCATAGAATGGGGGCTCTCGTTTGGATTTCTGGGATGTGCTGGTGTCTGCATTACAATTTGTGGTGGCCACTAGGTCTCTTCCCTTCGGTGTCTCAGGTGTTCTTTAATATGGGCAATCAGACTTCATCTCCTAGATCTTTGATGCCTGTTCCACAAACACAAACTTGCGCTTTAGTGATGTGAAGACGCCAGCTCAGCCACCACACGACTGATGGATAAGATTCAACAACAGCTTCGATGCTAACGTCCTACTTATCAAGATCTCTGCGTGATATTGTGACAACTGATTTGCGCCCTTGATGCGCCCTTTGACATGTATGGATGCCGAGTACCCTTCGCTCCTTCCCGCATCCGGTAAAATGCAGGCGCTGACGTATGACGCGAAACTCGACTAGGCCCCAGGCCTCCAGGCAGCACTAAACACTCCGGTCCGTCATGGCTTCGGAAAAGCAATCATAACCAGAGCCTCTTCTCTTCTTTTTTCCTTCTACAAAACTTCTGGCCTTCTTAATGTCTTAGAGTCCAGGTGTACCAACTCCGCCACGCTCATAATACCCACCCTATCCCGAACCTCGGAGCATGTCTGTTCGTGATGCGCCTGTCAAAGCGGCACAATGGCTCGGTCGCGAACTGGGACTCGCGACAATGAAGCATGCTGGAAAAGACGTCTACATCCTCATTCTGGCACGGTACATCCGTCTGTTTGCATACGGGAGCGTGGCACTTATCCTCGCACTCTTTTTCCAAGAGCAAGGATTCTCAGATGAACAAATCGGACTCTTCATGTCGTTGACGCTGCTCGGAGATGTAGTCATCAGCCTCCTCCTCACACTTGTCGCGGATACGCTAGGCCGGCGCCGGACATTACTCCTTGGAGCCGTGTCCATGGCAATATCCGGCGCTGTTTTCGCAACAACAAGCAACTACGTGGCTTTGCTTCTAGCAGCCATCGTCGGTGTCATCAGTCCTAGTGGGAACGAGATCGGGCCGTTCAGAGCTGTGGAGGAGTCGACGTTAGCGCACCTGGTAGCCGAGGACAAGAGGTCGGACGTGTACACTTGGTATGTCGTCTTGGCTGTACTGGGCACGTCAACGGGGTTGGCAGTTGGTGGTGTTGCGGTCGACAACCTGCAGGCTATCGAGGGTTGGACGGATCTGGATGCGTATCGCGCCATCTTCTGGATTTACACTGGGGTCGGGTGTGTCAAGGCGCTGATGACTCTGTTCCTGAGCCAGAGATGCGAGCACAGCGACTGGAACGATGAACGGAACAAGTCTGCTGTATCAGTTGAGACCGAGCCGTTGCTGAACAATGACGAAACAGAGAGTCGAGATACTGCAACTCGAGACGCAGCCCCCAAAAAGCCTAAGAAGTTTTGGCATTCCCTAAGCAAGATCTCCAAGTCGAGTCGCATTGTTCTTATTAAACTCTGCAGCTTGTTCTTCCTCGATTCTTTGGGCTCGGGGATGGTCCCCTTTAGCTTGATCAACTACTACATGGAACGTAAATTTGATCTACCAAAAGGGAAGCTAGGTGGCATCATGTCTGCAACATGGTAAGTCACAACCTGATCGAAGTATGCCTTAAACCACACGCTTACGAACATACAGGTTTGTGTCGACACTTGGAAATGTCTTCGCCTCGAGTCTAGCCAAACGTCTCGGCTTAATCCAAGCAATGGTCTTCACTCATCTGCCTTCTTCTATATTTCTCGCGCTACTGCCTGTACCGTCGGGACTAGCTTTAACCATCTGCCTGCTCGTTGGTCGCTCTGTGCTCAACTCTATGGATCAGGCCCCTCGATCAGCCTTTCTCTCGATTGTGGTCTTACCAGAAGAGCGAACCGCCGTTATGGGCGTAGTCAATATACTCAAGACACTATCCCAGAGCAGTGGACCAAGTCTTACTGGTGTACTTGCTGGGAACGATCATTTCTGGGTCGCTTTTGTTGCAGCTGGTAGCTTGAAAGCGGCGTATGATTTATTGCTTCTCGCATTCTTTGGCGGACGGGTACAGCCGCGAAGTGAAGAACCGGAAGCAATTACTGGTGTAGAGGAGGATGACACTATTGAGGAGCCCGCGAATGGACACAGGACTACTTGATGTAGCTTGCACGGGCTTAAAGACACAAACAAGGAACATTGTTAGATCAATACCATCTTGATGCAGATGCAATACATTCCACAGCTTCTAGAATGTTCAACATGCCGTTTGACACTACACCGCCAGGTACGGGTGAAAGCCGAAGGCGCTACCTCGGCAAACTCCTTCTTGGGCTTACTTGTACGATTCCTTGCGTACACTGGCAACAACCTCCGACATCACAGCTATCAGCAATTCACTACGGCGCGGTCGCTATTGCCGATTTTCGGTGTGGCTGACCTAGCTATGCACATAGCATGCGCCAGTACTCCAGCTCAACGGTCAGCTTGTCGGCCACCGCTCCGATCGTGAACACCCACGCTCTGGCCAAGGACAGGCCAGCTGGGCATGCACCAGGCGTGCCACGAGACCATGTGAACGAAGAATTACCCGAGCCACCAGCATCCGTCTCTGTCTTCCTAACCCGTAGCAAGAAGGTCGCATATGGGACGACCCAATCACGTCCGCGCACGGCCGCAGGAGATGAAAGCTCCACCTGTCTGCACGCGACCCAGACCCTGGCTTGCATGGTTCGCCGCTACAACCACGCTTACCCGAAAGCCATGCTAGACCCCGCAAAATTTTATGCTTAAAGACCGCCTCATGTCCTACCACCCAATGTCACGGTAGCAGTTTCCCCGGATTTCTCTTTACTTTTGTTCTGGTTCGAGAGTGTGTGGAGCAACGTTGCAGCACCCCACTATCGTTCCCAAAGCAGCCCAGCCCTGGCCGGATCGCCATCGGCCCGATTTTCTCTGGTTTGCAAGGAGAGTTCACGGAAGAGAGCAGTCATGGCGGAAGAGAAGGAGATTCAGCCTACTACCGCGCCCCCGTTCGAGCATTATGGAGACAATGAGGAGTCCGATCACAAGCGCGCTGCTAACAAGCTTGTTGACGATGCGCGGCTTGCCACGGACAACGAACGCAAGATGACGCTGATGCAGGGTATCAAACTCTATCCCAAGGCGATTGGATGGTCTGTCCTTATCAGCACGTGTATCGTCATGGAAGGCTACGATGTCTGCCTGTTGAACAACTTCTTCGGATTCCCGCAGTTCAAGCAAAAGTATGGCGAGCA